TTGTTTTGTTTTGTTTTGAGAAAAAGTATAGCCATGTACTTCACGCTGGCCTTGAAATCACTATGTAGTCCAGGCTGACCTCCACTTCAGAGATCTTCCTGCCTCAGCCTCCCATTTGCTGGGATCATAAGCACCTACAGCCACCCCCTGCTGACATTTAGCTTTTCAAGCAAAGGATTAAATTCTTTATTGTGTGCACTTGTGTGCTGGAAACTGCGCTCACGCTGCACCCCCAAGCTGTTCCCCAAACTCCAGTACCTCATCCTTGAGGGGAGTCTGCCGAGGTGCAAACGACCCAAACGGTGCAGTCGACCAACTTACGACTCAGGCACTTAGGAGCCCAAGAAAGCAAAGAGCTGCGCCCTGCGGTTGTCAAAACGTTGGTCTTCACGAGGGTTCACCTGGGCGGCTCTGCATGGCTGAGGCATCTCTTTTCCCCAAAATCTGCTCTGCACTCTGACACCTTTATCCTGTAACATCAAGAAACATCCAAACAAGCTTGGAGTTAACCCTCTATCTGGAATAATCAGCCCGAGCAACCTAACAAGTACACGGCATCTATGCTGTTTCCTCGCAGGTCTCAGCTACTTAACCGTAGGCTGTCGATGGTAGCGGGCAAAACCGTTCGTCTTCTCCTGTCCCTGCTCAGCCTCCTGTCTTTAGCGTTTATTCTCTGCAGAAAAAGCACACACGGGCAGAGCGGTTCGGTTGGACGTAAGAAATACACAGCTGAGTCTAGGGAGGGCATTTCCAAAAGCTAGTGTTAGGGAGACTCAACGCAGGCGGAAGTTGCAGAGCAGGAAGAGATTGAGGGGGCTCTGGACAGCCGCTGAAATGAGCGCTAACAAGAGGGTACTGCGCAGTAAGCGTAAGGAAATACTATTTAGGTAATATTAATGTGCTGCACTTACGCACTGAGATCAAATGACGCAGCAACCTTATGAAATTTCCCATTTAAACGAAAACTAGTCATAGAAGTTTCCAGACGGCTTTTTTTTTTCCTGAAGAGTGAAGCTGCAATCTAGAAAGTCTGAGGGGGACTGGTTGTCATTTAAGACCACCTAAAAGACACAGGCTTTACTTTTCTGATTTCTTGCACGAACGCAACTTAAAATGTCAATCACAGCACGGGTAACAAAGCCGGACCCACCTGTCCCCAGAATCCGGAAAGCCCGCGCCGAGCGCGCCCGGCACCCAGCCACGCACGACACTCTAAGCTTCCCAGAGCTTAAAGGCAAAAGGAAGGACCACACCGCGATCCGTAACCCCTCGGAGAGCCGCCCCCGCACCGCCCTTCCCGGATCAGGGACCAATCACGGGGCGACAGGAAGACCCGCCCACAACACCCGCGGCCAATCACGACGCGAGGCGAGGGCCCGCGAAATTCAAACTGCTCTCGCCGCAGTCGCGGCTAAAGGTTCACCAACCCCTCTCTCGACCCCGTATCCAGTGGGCCAGCGCCCGCCATACGACCCCATCTGCCTCCAATCAACATCCCCCTAGCCCTGAAAAGCAACAAACGGCACTGGACACTGTCGCCCACTACACAAGAAATGGCAGCTCTTTCTTTGAGAAGCTGGTGGCTCTTAAAAGAGCCGTTAGGGTTGGGAGCTGGCGGTCGACTCACTGGTTACTTGGCGCTGGTGTACTTGGTGACGGCCTTGGTGCCCTCCGACACCGCGTGCTTGGCCAGCTCCCCGGGCAGCAGCAGCCGCACGGCCGTCTGGATCTCCCGCGACGTGATGGTCGAGCGCTTGTTGTAGTGCGCCAGGCGCGACGCCTCGCCCGCGATGCGCTCGAAGATGTCGTTGACGAACGAGTTCATGATGCCCATGGCCTTGGACGAGATGC